CACATTCACTCTTACCTTGCTTTTCGGGGGGGCACCATTTGCTTTTTGGGAAGCAGATTTTCACAAAACTAAGGGCGGGGGTCAGTCAGCAGATCATGTGATTTTAACATAGCTGACAATAATCTGGGGCTGACTAAGTTCTTCTCTGTATCAACTGAGCTGTGTAACACATGGGAGAATTTAAAATTTTTGTTTTTAAAATTTCTTTTGATTTTTTTAAATTATTTTTTTTTATTGCACTTGGTCAAACCCTTGTGTAATACATCTGCAAATGATACTGTGGCAGGAAGGTCAGGAGAGGGAAGAGAGATTAATGAGTGCTACAGTAAAACAAAGGAAAACTGGAGTTGGGGAATGTTACCTGGAGACCAGAGGAGGGTCACCTCGCCCCAGAGGTTAAAACAGCCAATGAAATAACATGTGGTTATGTATGGGAGAAACTGTACCCCACCCCCCCACCATTTCTGTAACCTGCTCTAAATGGCATATAAGGAAAGCCCCCTTTGTTCTTGGAGCTCAGCCTTTGGACTCCAGTCCACTGAGTCACTGCCAGCTTGTTTAATATACTTGCTTCCCAAAAGCTTTGGTGCCCTCACAGTCTCTGTCTGAGCCCTCCTGCAACATTTCTGGGGGCCAGCCCAGGATTTGGAGGGTGGTGTTTTCACTTCCTTGTCACTGGCTCAATATCCCTGGCCCGCCAGGAGGGCCACCCCTGCCAGGCACCACCAGACTGTGTTGATCCGGGGGAGGGAGCCTATCTTCTGGCAAGCTGAGGAGGTGAGTTCTGGTTGTACAAAGGAACCTGGGAAGGCTCAGGAACCAACCTGGGAGCCCCACTCATCAGACTGGTAAGAACCTGGGTTCAAATTCAGTCCTGCCTCAGGAGGCAGAAGGGCAGTCTGATCAACTCTCAAAAGGCACCTGAATAAACCCCTTTTGGGGGGTAAAACCATGTCTTTTCAGGTTAGGGAGCGGGATGGAAGTACTGTGCTGTGAGAGTATGTGAAAGTGCAAGTCTGAGACATAGACTGGTTAAGAAGTGAGTGCAGAGTCCCAATCCACAGGTCAGTGATGAACTCATATGGTCCAGGGTGAGTCCTAACAGGGCTTCTGGTCCAGGGGCTTATACAGACTCATGACAGCCAAGAGACACCTAAATCCCTGAGAGGGGAGTGGCTGGAGACAGACAAAGTAAGTGGTGTTATTTGTTTTCCTCTGTATGCCAGAAAGGAGGACCCCTTATCTCCTCTCCTCAGTCCTCATCCCTTCTGTCTTTATCTGTCTTGGTGTCTGGCAAAAGGGAGACTGGGAGGAGATCAGAGTAAGAACATCCCCCTAGATTTAATGGAGATTATGGGATAAACTGACTCCTGACAAGCTGAGGACCTTCTGTGAAATAGACTGGCCTGCTTTTGATGTAAGATGGCCCTCAGACAGGTTATTAGATAAGATCATATTCAATAGAGTTTTTAAAGTGGTTGTAGGGGAGCCTGAAACACCCAGATGGTTCCTTATATTGACTGCTGGCAGGATGAAGACCTGCCCTAATAGAGAAAGCACATAAGGTTATGGTACCCAGAGGGGACAGCAGCTTCCAAGTACAGGGAACAATGTAAAAAGCCAGAGAAACCCATATTAGTGGGAGACCCCGAGAAGTCCCTGTCCCCATATGCCACTGTACAGATTAGAGAATTTCTAGGAGCTGCAGGTTTCTGCTGGATCTGGATCCCCAATTACTCTCTCTTGGCAAAAACCCTTTATAAAGCCACAAAGTGGGGAGAACAGGAACCCATGGTATGGGGGGAGAAACAAAAAAAGGCCTTTAAAAAAATAAAGAGAGTAGTCACAAGCGCTCCTGCTCTGGGCCTGCCAGATATGATAACGCCCTTCTTCCTACATGTAGATGAGAGAGTGGGAGCCATAGGAGTCTTGATCCAGCTGCTAGGTTCCTGGCACCACCAGGTGGCCTATTTATCACAGCAATTTGATGCAGTTTCCCAAGGCTGGCTGCCCTGTCTGTGCACCCTGGCAGCTACTGCTGTCTTGGTGACTGAAGCAGACAAACTTACTTTAAGACAAAAACTCACAGTCCAAGTTCCCCACTGTGTTTTGACTCTCATGGAATATAAAGAAAATTATTGGTTAACAAACTCCCAAATGGCCAAATATCAAAACATGTTATGTGAAAACCTGCATGTCCAGCTAGAGGTTGTTAAGACTCTAAACCCAGCCACCCTACTACAGGTTAGTTCAGGCCCACCAGAGCATGACTGTTTAGATTATGGATGAAGTGTTCTTCAGCTGGCCAGGCTTGACCAGCCAGCCCATTAGTCATCCAGACATTGGGTATTTCATGGATGCCAGCAGCTTTGTCCAAAAACACACATACTTTGCCAGATATGCAGTAGTGACTCTGGACACTGTCATAAAAAACATGATCACTGCCAGTTGGGACTTCTAACTCAGAAAAAAAAAGTGTTAAATATGGACAAAAAATTCTAAAATTACTAAAAGCTGTATGGGCCCCTAAGCAAGTAGCAGTCATGCACTCAAGGGCACCAGAAAGAGGAGATGACAGCCACTTGGGGAAACTGAAAGGCTGATAAGAAAGCCAAGAGAGCAGCCCTCACAGGAGGACAAACCTTGGCCTCACTGGCAGCTGCCTTGTTCCTATGTCCCTTATCTGAATGGGATCCATGGTATACTTCACAAGAACAGGCTTGGTTTGAGACTGAAGGAGAAAATTTTCTACTGGGCAGATGGTGGAAGTTTACTGATGGCCACATTGCCATACCTGAGTCACTGGCTCCCACATTTGTCAAACAGTTCCATGAAGGAATTCACTCAGGACAAACAGCTCTCAAGACCACCTTGGCCCAGCATTGTTACGTCCCCAAGCTCTCCAGCATAAGTAAGACAGTATGGGAAAGGTGCAGTCTGAATGCCAGAAACAATCCCTGATATTTGCTAGTGTTTGCACCTTCTCAAGATGGATAAGACTTCCCCACTCAGACTGAGAAAGACCAGGTGCCTGTTAAAGAAAATCATCACTCGATTCAGAAAACCTGTGTTTATTGAATCAGACAATGGGCTGGCCTTTGTGGATGAGGTGGTACATTAATGGCTAAGAGATTAAAAATAATTTAAAAGCTACACATGAGAAATTTTAAAGCAACAGAGGCCAATAAAAGAAGGGGCCAGGAACTAGAGAAAAGGTTAGTTCGAAAAGAATTAATTTAGAAGATAACACACATACACAGGAAAGCAATGTGAGTCAACTCCCTGTATAGCTATCCTTATCTCAACTAGCAAAAACCCTTGGTCCTTCCTATTACTGCTTATACTCTCTCTTCAACAAAATTAGAGATAAGGGCAAAATAGTTTCTGCTGGGTATTGAGGTGGGGGGAGAGGGAGGGGGTGGGGGGTGAGGGAAGGGGTAAGGGGGTGAGAGAGGGGCGGGGGGGGCGAGGGAGGGGGCGGGGGGGTGAGGGAGGGGGCGGGAGGAAGGGGGAGAAATGACCCAAACATTGTACACACATATGAATAAAATAAAAATAAAAAAAAAAAGAGCATGGCTGATATTACCCTTCCTAATCCGCAGGTACAGTGGTCTTTATCAAGATGAAGGTCTTTGCCCCAGAAGTGGGTCTGAGTATCAAAGGGGGGAATGTGGCAGGAAGGCAGGGAGGGGGAAGGGAGATTATGAGCACTACAGTGAAACAAAGGAAAACCAGGAATGTTACCTGGAGACCAGAGGAGGGTCACCTCGCCCCAGAGGTTAAAACAGCCAATGAAATAACATGTGACATGAAATAATTAGACATCAGACAATAGCCAAAAGCTATTCAACCACATTCAAGTTTTAGGTTTCTATCCCTTTCCCTATCCCTCCCATGCATGGTCTCCCCTTGGTGTGTGACCCATGTCCAATAATATTGCTGCATTTGTTTTAGGTCTATGATACCCATGAAAACATGAGATTTTTGGCCTTCTGAGCCTGGCTAACTTCATTTAAGATGATGTTCTCTAGTTCCATCCATTTTTGTGAATGACAAAATTTCATTCTTGTTTGTGATTAAAATTCCATTGTATATAAATACCACATTTACTTAGTCCATTCATCAGTAGTGGGTCATCTTGGTTGTTAAACTAGTTTTAGAAGACTATGGTGTTAAGTGAAGTTGGGAAAACAACACTTGGTGAAAAAGAGTAAAATCTCCAGGAAACTATTTTTAAAAAGGAACTAATATTTACAGTTTTTTTCCATTAGCAACAAATCCAGATGGAACGTAAAGTCAGTGTCCCAGATGATCTGCTAACTGGAAAAGTTTATAATGCACTAAAACATTATAGCTTCTCTGTACTCAAAAAGAGACTTCACAGGGGCAATTTAGCAAATTTGGAAAAAAATAAAAATATCAGACAAAAACTCACTCTTAGTGCCTGGCAGGTATGTCTCCCTTCACTGGACCAAACATGAACGGGTCATTTGCACCTTCAAGCCTTCTTGGCTAGGGTGCTGTAAAACAAGACATCTTTTTTGTAGTTCTCCTTTCTTGTGGTTTAATTATAAAAACAAACATGACAGGGTATTTCTGAATAAGACTTGTTTTTAGAGCTATGATTCTCATAAATGGGGAAAAAATATCAGAAATGGAATCTTCAAGGGGCAGTGTCAAAAGAAACACTCTTACATGCCCCTTTTCCAGCTTGGAGGGCAGGGGACACTGGTACCATCAGGAATGGTACCATATACCTGGATGGTGGCATAGGTCAGGGAAGGATGAGAATCAATGACACAGACAAAGTGGGGGAAATATTTTGCAGCAGTTTTTAAAAATAAGAACTCTCATCTTGGCTTTTATTTGGTTCACTTTTACAAAATAATTGTTTAAAACTTTCTTACAAAATTTTTTAGCAAGACACATCAATAACCTGTGGGAGATGAGATCACTGTTCCTCTGACACAAAGGCATTCATGCAAAGAGTGTTTACGATGCTAGACAGCACGTTCAGCCCCTCCACAGTCCTCCAGATCAACCACTTCCAGTTTTTCCAGTTTAATGTTATTAGCTATGGGGAGCAATTTGTTCGAACTGCTATTGTTTTCTGGTACCATATCTTTCCAAGTAGTTGCCAGCAGCTTCCCACGGGTTTCTGGAAGCGTTAGTGACAGAAGTCCACTCAAAAAGGCCAGAACTCCAACTAACGACTAGAAGAAATTAAAAAAATAATAGTAAGTGACATATCAAGAAAAAAATGTACCTCTCAGAAAATAGTAACTTCTGAACCTTTTGCAGAGTTTGATATAAACATTACTGTGTTTACTCCTTGGTGAGATCTCAGGTTACTGGTGTTGGATTGGGAGTTTGTTAACTCATCAACTAGGCTTAATCTGGTCACTCATTAATTCATTCTTTATGAACCATTGTGGAGCGTCTATCCAATAAATGCCAGCTCCTGCCTGCAGGCTCTGTCCTGTGAGCTGTAGTCACAGAGAAAAAAGAACCTATGCCATCTTTCCAAACCCCAGTCTTTGCAGGAATCAAGCAACTGAGCCCTCAGTTTAGACTTGACCATCAGGGACTGTCCTAGTCAAATCTGCCCTGCCCCAATAATTGGTACACTACTAGCTGTTCATATATGATAGGATATGAATGACTAAACAAATAAACAAATGTCTCAATGAACCAGAACCTACAGAATTTAGAGGAAACAAAACAAAGACAACAGAAATTACTACTTGGTGACAGGGAGGGACATCTGGTTACCTACAAAATGTCAGTATGATTTCTTTACTTTACAGATTTTAACACAGAAAAGACAACCTTTCAGCCTACCACCAAGGTGTTCACATTTAAAAATGCAAGACAGATTACAAATTAAAGTCTGTATAACTTCTCTGTCAATCATTATGGAAAGGTTGGCTGATTTTCAGAACTAAATATTTACACAGTCTGTACAAAATATGACCCACCCTTACATAATTTAAACTCCTTTTGCAAAAATAATACTTGGTGGAGAGACCACATAAAACATGAAACAATTTTTCTGATAAACCTACATAATATGGTATTTTTACATCTCCAAGAGTGAAAATCTTAAAATACATAGTGCAACTGTGAAGTGGTATGAGCCCTCATCCATACAAGATGAGACCTGGAAAGGCAGTTTCTTATTTCATTTTGCAGAATGCTTATAACCTAATTCTCAGAAATACACACAACTTTTACCTAGAAGCAACAGCAAAATTTAAAGTGACATTCCAAGAGATTTTTTTCAGTGTTCTTAAGACACCTGGTTCTCAAGTCATGGCTGGCATATCCATTGACCTAGACACCCCAGAAGAGCCAGCCCTATGCCAGGGTCTGAAAAATACCAAGTAAGTCTAAATGCAAAATAAGATCAAATAAATCTAAGATAGGACTGGATTTTCTTCCTAGCTTGATAGTAAGAATGGCAGGCAGTAAACAGGCCTATAACCCTCAAACTCCACCCTATTCCTGCTACCCTGGCCAACTGCCCACCCCACAAACCCCAAACCAAACACCCCAAGCATCCTCCTGGCCAATGGATCCCTTCACTCTGACCAGACCCCATGATCCTTCACCTCATCCTTGGAGCTCCCCCCGCCAACAAACACTGCCCCATAGACCTCTCAGCTTCTCACATACTCATGGCCTTTTACTTTCCCGAGTGAAAGCAAAAGTTCTTGAGCTCTTATAATCTCTGCAACCACTTTGCCTAGGTTCTTGCCCCTTGCTAACTGTACGGTGTGACTGTGAGCAAGTTATTTAATGTCTTCGTTCCTCAGTTTCCATACCTGTAAAAGAGAAATGAGACTGGCACCTGCCTCAAAGGACTGGTGAGGGGATGAAATTACATAATGTACTTAAGGCTTAGAACAGTGCCTGGCCCATGGTCAGTGGCCAAAAATGCTAGCTATCGTCACTGTTATCGTCTCTCGATAAACAAGTTGTTTTTAATGTTCTATCACTACTGCAGTTACATCTTTGAAAACAAGACGTGTACTAGAGCCTCCTCACCTGCCCAATCCCCAGCTCTCCCTGTGTCCCCATTCCCAACTCTGCTGGGCCTGCCCCTCTTAGCCTGACCCCTCCCAACTCTGTAGAATTTGCTCATCCTGGGCACAAATCCTCAACTGCCTCACCTGAGGGACATGTTCCTGTCCTGCTCTTTTCTGGCTGCTGCCCTCTCTTGCCATCTTCACCTCCTCTCCAACCCTGATCTCCTTAATGATCCTCGCCCATCTAACCAGCCACATTCCTTTTCCCCTCCAAGCCTCTGCTTTTCTGTTCTCTCTGCTCAGCTGACTCTTACTGGTCCCCAGATACAGACAAAAAACTCCCTCCTCCAGGAAACCCCCTCTGACCCTAGCCTAGGTTGGCAGCCCTCTTTCAGTCCCTAAGTCTGGGGCTTGTAATGTTTGCTCTTGCTCTTCTGCCTTTCCCCCCACACCAGCTATCTCAGGACAGAGGCTGTTTTTTTCATCCCTGCTCCTCAGCACCTAGCAGAGTGGTGAGTTCAAAATCAGCACTCAAAACATTGTTGTCACTTTCCCTGTCCACCATGAGATGAGCAGTTCCTCCACCTGCTCTGCCCAAGCTCAGGAGGTCAGCCAAATGTGGGCTGAACCTCTGAAACTGAGAGCTAAATAAAATTTTCCTCCCTTAAAAAAAATCTCTACTAAACAAGACTATAAACATAGAAAAATGAATTTGACATCCACCTTCTTTGAGATTAAGTAATAGTCGGTAATAAAAGCATCAGAACAAGTGGTTTTCATGGGCCTGTTCTCAAAAAGGAAAATATAACCTTCTAGATTAGTGTTTTTATCATTCAAAATGAAAATACTGGTTCTCCAGGGCAGTGTGATACCCACAAACATTTATTAATATGTATTTATCACTTATTTTCTTGCTCATTAAAAGCAACAAGCAACATATGTGCATCCCATGGAAGCAAGTTCATAGATTATTTCTGCAAATATACATAAGACCCCGTAGCAGAAGATGTCTTGGGCAGAGGGTTGGGGCACTCGGGGGCAGGGAGGCAGACAGCCAACTGCCCTGCTTCCCTCAGTACTGTTTGCTTATTTGTTGGTTCGCCTTCCATAAAAGACACATGGGATTTGGGCTAGAGTCCCAGCTCTGTCACCTTTAAGGTGAGTGACCATGGCCTAGCCATTATTTTCTGTACATCTGTCTCCTCGTGAGTAAATAAGGAAAACAAAAGTATCTGCGTTATATGAGAATTAATTTTTGCAAAACACTGAAAATTAAGGCTGTTTAAGAGTCTATTAAATAAAATAAATGATGCCTTTTAGTTCTATAGTCATTAATGGACCCTTACAGATACGCTTCTTTTAAATTTGATTTGGCTTTTTAAAATTGTTACAGCTTCTTGCTTTAAAGAACTACTTGCTATTTTTATCTCTTTTTTAAAAAAATGAGGAACATAAAGTGCTAGCACAAAAGAGATGCTTCTGGAAATTTCCAGCCCTAAAAAAGGTGGTAGACTCTTCCCAAACACCTCTTTATATAGACCAGACATTCCATATTATTTCTTTCCTTGAAAAAAACAAAACAAAACAAAAGTTCTGGTGAGTCTTCTTCTTGCTGTTGTTGTACTGAGGATTGAACACAGGGCTTCGTGCTTGCTAGGCAAACACTCTATCACTTGAGTGAGTCCCATCCCCAGACCTGGAAAAGTCTTATTAAGAAAAATGTACATAGTTTACTTTTCTCCAATCTGTCCTGGTGTGCTTCTAATGATATTGGAATCACTTGGATCAATAACAGCCAGGGTGCATACTCTAGTATTTTCCACATGCTGTGCCCAATTCAATATGGTTGCCACTGTCGTGATGGACACCAGTTTTGGCCAACATGGTGCAGAACTATCCTGGATTTCCTCAGGCTGGGAAGTTGTCAGCAAGAATGACCACTTTTATTTGCTTTGTCTGATTTTCAGCATCTACTTTTGTTGTGGCAGTATAGTCAGAGGAGAAACCAAGCGACACTCAAAGGAGTGGAGAACTCAGATTTTAATTTTACGCCAGCGGGCCCAGACGTGTACCTGTGTCTGAGCCCTGAACAAAGGATTCACAAGATATTTAAAAGGTAGTGTAGGGCATCAGGTTACAAAGATGTGCTCAGGTCATGGTGTCCTAACCAGTGAGTTAGATTGTTTAGGTTAATTGGGCTGGTAGGGAGCTAGGGACCTAGTGTTATTTAGATAAGAACAGCAGGGGAGGCCTGCTTTGGAAAGTTTATTTACAAGTGGAGACAAAGGAAGGCAGGAATGGGTGCTTATCTCTGCATGGTGCCTTTCATCTCGGTCCTGAACTTTTGCTTGGCTCTAATGGGCAATTCCTCACAGCTCTGTCTGAGGTTACAGCTTTTAATTGACAGTTTACCATGTTTTACAACCCTATTTCAAGGCTATCTTCCTCTTCACTTTGACATACTTTCCACTTTCCATAACCAGTCAGAGCCTAGAGGTGATTAAGTCTAAACCTTCTGCATCTTCTTTGTAGCCACCAAGAGCAACTACTAAGATAGGCAAGTAGCAGGAAAAACGAACTACAGAGGCTAGTAATTTTTCTCCGCCTCCGAGTCAGCTGAGAGAGAGGATGGTCCTGACACCACAATGAAGCAGACTTACTGAGCACGGCTACTGGGCAGAGCAGAAGGTGCTCTGCTAGGCCACTGATTCCAAAGAGCAATCTGCATACCACTTGTGGAGCCAAGGTGACCCCAGTCGGACCAAGAACCTTGTTTTCTTCCTTGTGACATTATGTGAGTGTATTTTACGAAAACATTACTGTTATCACACTCTCAATTTCACTAGTACTGCTGCTTAGGACAAAGCTAATTTAAAAAGCCAAACTAACTGATTTAAAATATAAAGGAAATTTCAGTGTAGGTAGAGCACAAGATGAAGGAAATGCTTTGCTGGCCCCAGGGGCTACAGAATGCTCCACAAGCAAGAACTCAATAGTGTAGCTGGAGAGAAAGACACACCATGGAAGCATATGGAGTACTGTGCAGACTGAGTATAGAAGAGGTTGGCTCATAGGGCCTTGTGCGGCCTTTCTAGAAATATGACAGTTGAAAGGCTGCCTTGCAGTTTAGCAGGGGAGGTAAGAGAGGAGCATTCCCTTTGAAGGGGCTGTTTAGGCAGAGGTGTGGGTGGGGAGTGTGTGGTAGCTGACACAGGGAGCAGGTGGGAAGGCCTGCAATGGGAGGGGAGTGTGACAGAAGTGGAAGCTGTGTGAAGAAACACAACAGAAGACAGGCAGGTGGTAATATGGAAATTATAGGCTGAATCTGGGTTTTTATTCTGAAGATGACAGAGGTAGGATGGAGGTGGGGGTCACTTCTATGCTATTCTGGTGGAGTGGAGGGATGGAAGAGAAGGAGGAGAGTCAGGAGAGAACAGGGCAGGAGGTGATGAGGACCTGAACTGTAGTAAGCAGGGGTGTTTTTTATGGAGAATGTAAGGATTTGATGATTAATGGCTTGGGAGAAGATGAGGAGGAGAGGGTCAATAAAAAGCCAACATTCAAGTGTTGTGCTTGTGTTCTTTGACTTACCCTTGATCAGAAGTGAAAGAGAGGGCTGGCAGAGTGGCTCAAGCAGTAAGATCACCTGCCTAGCAAGCATGAGGCCCTGAGCTCAAACCCCAATGCTGCCAAAACCAAAAAAAAGTGGAAGAAAGGAGGGAGGAGGAGAGAATTTAAATCACTGACCAGTGCCACCGTGAGAACCCTGGATTTATTCTAAGACATTAGAATAGCCACAAGGTTAGTGTGCAGCTACCTCCGCAGCACAGAAAAGAGTGAGAATTTAGGAGAGGTCGACCTTGCAGGAGAGCAGAGGAGAATCAGGGTGGAATCTTAGAAAATGAGTCAGTTTAATTGGTCATCAGAAAAAAGGGGGAACTGAGGAAGACCAAGAAGGAACAGTCTAGAGGGAGCAACTGCAAAGAAACTTGGGAGGGAGAGCTTAGAGAGGAGGGGAAGGCCAGCAGGAGGGGGGTCCCCCTAAGTCACTGCTAGGAATGCTGGCACCATGTGCCACTTCCCTGCCTCTGCCCTCTCCAGCTCTCATCTGCCTCAGGACCAGAAGAGTTACCCTAGACCAAGTGTCAGGTGTAATAGTGTTCTGTCTTCCCAACTCTCAGTCCCCATGTGAAACACTGTGCAAACCAAGGATGACTGCTCTCTTCATCTAAAACCAGGCCAGTAGCTCCCATGACCAGAGCCAGAAGGACTCAGAGGGAAGCCTTGCCCACCAAGAGCCCCTCAGGTTCCAAATCAATGGAAAAAACCAGATTCCTCAACTTCTCCAGCAGGTACAACAGAATCTTCCAGGAAGCAGGCAGCCTCCAGAATTTTCCTGGAGCAGCAGGTTCACAGCAGGAATACAGACACAAGGACTGGGCCTGAGAGGGGACTGAGAGCAGAGCTCTCTGCTGCAGAGCTGGCTTCAGGCTGAGGGTAGAGAGAGCCCTCTTCTGGCAAGCAGAGTGATAACGAATAACAGCTCAGCAGTGCTGAAAGGCAGTCACCAAATAATAACACAGCTACCATCACCCTACTTACCAATTAGCGAGCTACTCATGGTGTTTCTAAAACCCTCTATTACTAAAGGATAAATTGGCTTGCAAAAAATAAAAATACAGAAGGCAACTGGTTCCTCTGCCCCTCTGCTATCCCAATAAGTTTCTATAAAGTAATGAAGACCTGTGGTAGGAAGACCCATATTTGGGTGAGCTCCATGGAGAAGGGGATGATGATGCTGGCCACAGGGGACACCACGTTGCCACTTCCCACAGCTGTCAACCTGCAAGCACCAGGAGAATTAAGATGGGAGCAAAGCACAAACGAGGTAAAGGGTGTCGCTCCTGCTCTACCCTCCCAGAGTGAGGACCCAGAATAGAACTTAAGCTCAGAAATAACTCCGATGCTTCAACAGCCACCCGTGAGTAACACCTATATTCTGTGAAATGGTGTACATAAGCATGCAGATAAATTCAAGACAAAAGAAAAAATGGCAAAACATTTTCTTGATCCACTAGTAAACAAGGCCCATATGTATACCAACCCAGCTTAATAGTGAGGCTAAGATGATGGACTTTCTAGAATAGGAATTTGTTTAGGGTAGGAAGCGGGAATTTGGGGGAGAACAAAATATTTGTCTGTTTGTGGACTGTTCTATTTCAATTTTTAAAAGTTAAGCAATATCTTAATGTACTTTTCTTTAAAGGTTACTTGAAGAAAACTTCTTGTATCTCTTGGGCTGGAGGTGTGGCTCAAGCGGTAGAGCACCTGCATAGCAATCATGAAGCCCTGAGTTCAACCCCTAGCCCTGCCAAAAACTTCTAATATGTCTGTTAGTAGAGAAAGATTACTTCCCCACTCCATCCCTACACACGCCCACATTTCCACAGCCTCCCACCCTGACCCAGTGCTGGGGATGGAAACCAGCACCTCAGGCATGCTAGGCAAGTGCTCTGTCACTGAGCCCCATCCCCACTCCGGGAAAGACTGCTTTGAATGTGCAACTTAAATCAATGGTGCTTCACCTCTTCTGGGTCAGACACATTTATAAGTAACTGATAAAATTCACGACATTCTTCTGAGAAAGAAATCTCACATAAGTAAAGTCTTACATGCAATATTAGTATGTTCAGAAATCCATAGAATTTGTTAGAGCTTCTCTGCATTAACTAGTCATATGTTGTACTTTTTTGAGTAAATGTATCTACAGCTATAAACCAATAACCAAATTGGTCTGAAAAATACCATCATATCTGACAGGCATAGGTAATAACTCTATGAATGGAACTCCAATAGCTCAGCAATTAAGAGAAAGGATTGACAAATGAGACTGCATAAAATTGATAAAGCTTCTGCACAGCAAAGGAAACAGTCACTAGACTGAAGAGACAGCCTACAGGATGGAAGAAAATCTTTGCCAGCTATACATCTGACAAGGGATTAATAACCAGAATATACAGGGAATTCAAAAAACTAACCTCTCAAAGAACCAACAACTCACTGAATAAGTGGGTAAATGAACTGAACAGACAATTCTCAAAAGAGAGGTACAAATGGTCAATAAACATATGAAGAAATGCTCGACATCCTTGCCCATAAAAGAAATGCAAATCAAAACTGCACTGAGATTCCACCTTGCCCCAAAATGTCTATCATCAAAAAATACAGGTGTTGGGGATTTAGCTCAGTGGAAGAGCGCTTGCCCAGCAAGTGCAAGGCCCTGAGTTTGGTCCTCAGCACCGGAAAAAAAAAAAAAAAGGAAAAATAGAAAAAATACAAACCACAAATGCTGGCAAGGATGTGGGGGGAAAAGCAACACTTCTACACTATTGGTGGGAATGTAAATTAGTGCAACCACTATGGAAAGCAATATGGACGGAGGTTCCCCAGAAAACTAAAACTAGAACTACCATATGATCCAGCAATACCACTCCTGGGCATATATCCAAAAGAATGTGCTCCAGGATGTTGTAGGGGCACCTGCACACCATGTTTATTGCAGCACTATTTACAGTAGCCAAGCTATGGAAACAGCCCAGATGCCCACATGTGATGAATGGATCAAGAAAATGTGATATGTATATACAATAGAGTTTTATTCGGTCATGAAGAAGAACAAAATTATGTTGTTTGTAGGTAAACTTCATGTTAAGCAAAGCCAGTCAAGCTCAAAAAAGTCAAAGGTCACATGTTTTCACTCATATGTGGAAGCTAGACTTATAAGTTAAATGTATATATGGATACATATACGATTATATAGATATATACACTGTATACTATGTATACACTATATATATATGCATATAGTGAGAGAGAAAGAACAAAATTGTACTAGTGAGTCTGTCTAAGGGGAACTATGGGAGGTGGAAGAGGTAAAGAAAATGTTAGAGAATGAAAAAATATTGAAACAACCCATCTATATATATGAATCTAATAATAATGTAATATAATGTATAATACTGTAAGTTATTATTGGAGTTCTGTTCATAGAGTTATTACCTATGTCTGTCAGATATGATGGTATTTTTAAGACCACCTTGGTTATTGGTTTACAGCTGTAGATACATTTACTCAAAAAAGTACAACATATGACTAGTTAATGCAGAGAAGCTTTGACAAATTCTATGGATTTCTGAACACACTAATATTGCATACAAGACTTTGCTTAGGTGGGATTTCTTTCTCAGAAGAATATGAGGGGAGCATGGGAAAGAGAACAAGTAAGTAACAGGAGGTAATTTGATAATATACAGACCAGAAGTACCAAGGCAAAGCCCCCTTGGACTATCAATATACACTTGATTTTAAAAAATGAAGGGCAGAAGGGAAACATAAATCTTTTCCAGGGGGTGTCCCAGTGGGAGGGGTGGGCATAAGGAAAGGGGGAATGAGGGTGAATATGGTGGATATATTTGTATCCATATATGAACGTAGAAGAACGAAACTTGAAATTTTCTAAAAAGGGGGGAAGGAAGGAGGAGGGAGGACAATGGAGGGGATAAATGTGACTGAGCTACATTGAAAGCACATATGTAAATGTCACAATGTGTCCTCCTGTACAAGTATTCTATGCTAATAAAATAATTTTAAAATGCCGTTCTGTAATGATGATGCACACTGACATGTTTTGGCTACGCTATCTTTGCGCACATCACACATCAGTCAATACCTATGTGTTGCATTGGTATATCTTATCCAACCTGAACTTGAAACGGGAAGCATGCCCCTTCTCCTGGCTGGGCAGAAATCCACACAAGAGAGGCCAGAAGGAGCCACGGGCCATGGCAGAGCCATTTGCTCTGATTCACAGAGCGCTCTCCTCCCTACAGAGCCACAGGAGAACCCAGTGACGGCCTGAGTTGGCAAATACACTTCCCACTCTGTTGTGTTGCCCTAGTTTCTCCCGTCACCCTTTAAGAGCTGGAAATCACTGTGTTATTCTGCCTGTCTGCTACCGTGCCTCTGCACAGGGCTGCTACTATCATGGAAAGATCTGAAAGGAATCCAAAGGCCCTTACCCTAAAAGCTGTCTACTCCACTCCTACAGCTGTGCTCCTGGGATTCATCCCTTGCAAATGTTCAGCACAATCTCCCAGGAAAATTCTTGCATGCTTTCATTGAGTGATCGGAAGGGTCCGAACATGTGGGTCTGAGTTCTAATCAGTCACTGACTAGCCATGAGCCTAGGTCAAGAACCTAATCTTATTTGAATCTCAGCTCCACAGTGTATAAACTGGAGGCCACAACAGCAGCCTCAACAGAGATGTTGGGATGAATAACGTTTATTTATTATTATTTATTACTTATTATTATTTATTATTTGAGGGGGGCCTGCAGAAGAAATAGGGAGAAACGAAAAACCCACTTTTACCTTCTGACAACCGAGCTAGCTGACACTTGTGTGGGGAGTTATTCTTCTCCTGTTCTATATCCCTGGTCACACAGTAATCTGAGTCTTTTTTCTTAGATTTAAATCTGTCTACCTACTCTATCTGTCTAGCCAGCTGGCCACCTAGACATCTATCTACAGCCAGCACAAGTGTACGTACACATCCTCACAGGCAGGGGGTCTCCCTGCCCAGGTAGATGTGCGGACTTATGTTCTTCTCTTGATGGATGGGTTTCGAGGTCCTACAGCCCTCTTGCTTGTGGAGCCAAGAAGGAACACCTATGGGCTGCCATTATGTGCCCTTATCGCTACAGAAGTCACTTGCCTTTCACACTTGTAACACATAGCAAATAACAGACCCCTAAAAAAGGGACACACCACTAGGTAAGCACTTAGAAATTTCAAAAACAATTTCCTGTACAAAAAGCCTAATACCAGGTTCTGATTTATTTGTTTATTGTTATTAAGACTGCCTCTTTCATAGGGTAAGACATTATCCAGCCTCACTAACAAAAAAATTTCCCTTAGAAAATAAAAACTTCCTTGGAGTAAGTAGGCAGTAGGAAAAGATGGCTTGGAGGATTTGGGGTGGGTCTGTCAGTAGGAAACCATTGCAGAACTTTACTGAGGGAAATCTGGGGCCCAAACCTCTCATGGCACTAGTGTAACACTAAGCACCCTTTAAGCTTTAAAACCCAAGATCATTTGGCCAAAAGAGAACCAAAAAGTTGGATGAAGTGTTGGAGAAAGGATCCCTTCCTGTCAACCCTGGGTCACAGTTCTGTTTCTAGCACAAGGTGCTTGATCTCCCAGGCCTCAGTTGTCTTGTCCAGACATGAAGGGCTGCAGTAAGAACTCAGTTTTCAAAGAGAGCTGTGTTGGGGCTTGGGCGTTATGCTGCAGTCCTGCAGAACAAGAAGGTGGAGAGAGAAGGAAATTCCAGATTCCCCAACAGAGCAACCAAAGTGCCTCTGTTCTTTTCTTCACTACGTAAAGGACTTTCCAATAAACAGTGTTTGAAAAAGCTGTTAATAAGCCAGATGTGGTAGTGTATGCTTGTAATCCCAACTACATGCATAGGTAGGAGGATCACAGACTGAAACTGATCCAGGCAAAAAGTATGAGACCTTATCTGAAAAAATAACTACAGCAAGAAGAGCTGGAGGTGTGGCTCAAGTGGTATAGCGCCTGCTTTGAAGCATGAAGCCCTAAGTTCAAATTCCATCCTATAAAAAGAAATTGCAGGTGTTGAATTCACTACCCCCCAGTATCTTAGAATGGAACGCACATGAGAGAAGTCTTTAAAGAGACGATTAAATTCAAATGATGCTGCTAGAAAGGGCCCTGATCCAATAGGACTGGTGTTTGTACAAGAAGAGGGAAAGTTACAGTATTTTTAAAAAGCATAGCTATACTAACAATACTTACATATTACTTAAATAATACTTAAATATTAAATGCATGTGCATTTAAGTAATAAAAAATAAAAAGAAGACAGAGAGACCCCTGGAGTGCACAAGGGAAGGACACGAAGGAGAGAGGTCTCCAGAAACCAAACCTGTTGACACTTTGATCTGGAACTTTTAGCTTCAGAACTGTAAAAAAATACATTGTTACTTCTTATGGCCCCCAGTCTGTGGTGTTTTGTCATAGCAGTCCTAGCAAGCACATGTAATTGGCATCAGAACATTGAGGAAGGCATCCTGAGAACATCAGCCTTGGGTCCTGTGTGAGACACCATTTAAAATAGTATTAGGATAAATGTGTTATTTCAAAGTAATGTCTTTAATGTCCCTGCCAGTGAGGTACAGATGGCACATCAGATTCAGAGCTAGGATCATCGTATAATTTTCCCACATCTGAGTTTCAGGTAACTTCTATGGACAGCAAGCATTTATATTTAAAGGCCAAATATAACAAATTGCAAGCCAAAAGCAATAGGAAAATATTAATCCTCACCTTATAATGGTTGGATACAGCTCGCCTGTGTAAAGATAAACGAGGCCAAACACTGACACTATGGCAAATTTGACAGCCAAACTTACTATCACACTCAAAGTACGGCTATTCTGGAAAAAAAAAAAAAACAGTGAACTAGACCATCATAAATAATATTTTAAGAGAAAAAATTAAGTCATTAAAATCATTACTTAAGCCTTTATAATTCCTTCACTCCTTCCATATTTTTTTCAGAACAATGAAGAGTTTAATTTTTGTGTGTATGTATGTGTGGTACTGGGGCTTGAACTCAGGGCCTGAACTTTAAGCCACTCCACCAGCCCTTTTTTTGTGATGGGGGTTTTCGAGATAAGGTCTCACAAACTATTTGCTTGGGGTGGCTTCAAGCCATGATCCTCCTGATCTCTGCCTCCTGGTATAGGATTATAGGTGTGGGCCACCAGTGCCCAGCAAGTTTTCCATCTTTGTGAAATTTAAGGAATAAGGTTTATTGTGTCCCTCCTCCCCCAACCTGGGGGTTTTGAACTGTGAACTGTTGGACAGAGAGCTTTGGAATGAGACCCCCCTAAACAGGGCTGGTTGGACTGGTAATTACCCGCTCCTTCTGGAACTGATCCATAGAATGAAGCCAAGCATGACCAAAACGAGCGGTGCCCTTTGTAATCGCTGACTTACAAATTATCTTCAACAAATAATTTGAAAGTGATAACTGAACTAGTACACACCTCAACCTCAAAGCCTCTCAGTGAGTGTCTCCAGCTCATTTCTTGCTGACTCTCCATGTTCTGAAATCCTCTTTCTCCCTCATCTGACAGCTGGATGTTAAGACCCTGACCTTGGGGTTCACGTGCTAACAACGGTAGTGCTTGGCCAGCCTGCAGCCCTAAGGAACTCCCTGGAGCTTCCCACTCTCACCTCAGCCAACCGAGTACACTCACATAAACTTTCTATGAGCAAGATACAAACAAGGATTGTGTTAAGTCACCAACATTTGGGGATGAGTCTACTAAAGTTGCTAGTAACAACTACTTTAGACAATATTCGTTGAATGAATTAGTGACTTTTTTTGGCTGGGTTCCTCTACATGCTAGGCAAGCTACATTCCCAGCCCCAGTAAGTGTAAGTTTTAAAACTAATCTATATTGGGTTGGTATTATCATTAGGAGAGGAATTTTATTAAACAGAGCCAGCCCTGACAAACAGTTCCCGAGACCCCCATCTCCAAAATAACTAGAGCAAAATGCACTGGAGGTGTGGTTCAAGTGGTGGAGTGCCCGACTAGCAAACATGAAGACCTGAGTTCAAACTCCAGTTCAGCAAAAAAAAAAAAGGTATGCGTGAAGTTTGCTCAAATTGGCAGAGGCCTCCTGTGCTGAGTGGTTTTATTCATATTAGTAGTATTTCAAGCACCTGGAAATTTCAGCCACATAAAACATTTGGTTCCCCAGCTCTGATAAGTGAGAAAAGAGTTACTATAAAAGGAAGTCACTTGTTAGCTTAAATTAAATTTCAAACAGTATGCAAAACTTAAAATGCTTTGCCCTAAACCCTGCTATACTACTGTTTAATAATTATAGAATTTCTGGAGAAAATTGCATAAAATATTTTAAAGTACTGTTATAGTAACCATAGTTTTCCAAATTGAGAATTAAAATACAGGCACTAATAGCATTTTTGTGTGTGCCTGGTACTGGGTCTTGAACTCAGGGCCTATACCTTGAGCCATGCCACCAACCTTTTTTTGTGATGGTTTTTTAGAGATAGGGTCCTTCGAACAATTTGCTCAGGTTGGCTTTGAACCACGATCTTCCTGATCTCTGCCTCCTGAGTAACTAGGATTACAGGCCTGAGCCACGGGCGCCCAACTACTAATAGCATTTTTTTGGAGGAGTGGGAGAGAGCTTCAGGTAATTCAAGAGGTATTCCGGGTGTGCAGTTTGCCAAAATGTAAGATGAGAATGTTGCTTCAGTACTTTAGGGCAGCACTTCTCACTAAGAAACTGCCTTTAAAAAAAACAAGCTCCTAGCCAAGTCTGGTGGTATACGCCTGTAATTCCAGTTACGTGGGAGATAGAGACAGAAGGATGGAGAGTTTGAGGCCAGCCCAGGCAGTTAGTGAGACTTTGTCTCAGAGACAAAAGGGCTATGGGAATGGCTCAAGAGGCCCAGCAATCAAACGTACACAGACCATGGGTTCAATCCCCAGTACCATAACAAAAAAAGCTCCTTAGGGGAATTTGTGTATGCCTGATTCAGAAACTGCTACACCACTGGGAAAGCCAGAGTATTTAAACTGGAACAATCTGAATATTTGACTCATTCAGATGTCCCTGTGGCTACCACTCTCATTCAGGCTTCTGACCACTTGTCATCTCTGAGGCCCATCAAGCCTGATCCCTCTAAAATAGTACACACGCATTCTTCCTTTCTTTCTCCCTAATTCACCCACTCTTCTCCACACATACCCAAGTCATTCTTATTCTTTATCTTGTTTTGCTTTTCTTCTTGCTTCTTTTTTTTTTTTTGGTAGTACTGGAGTTTGAACTCAGGGCCTTGTGCTTAGTAGGCAGGCGCTCTACCACTTGAGCTACACCTCCTGCCCCTTTTTACTTTTTCAGATAGGGTCTTGATTTTTTGCCTAGGCTAGCCTTCGACCTCAATCTGCCTACCTACGCCTCCAGAGTAGCTGGGATTATAGATGTATTCCACCATGCCTGATTTGTTCTTTGTTATCTTGGTGAGAGGTCTGCTGTTTTACTTCTTTGAGTAGCCTGCTCCTCACGGCTCCTTAGATGGTTACATTTAAGATGTCTTCCTTCTCCCTTATCTGGGATAAAATCACTCGTGTTATTTGCTCCCCTCGCAGCCTTGACCAAGATCCTGTATCTCTGTCTCCAGAGTCTCTGGGATGACAGGTGTGTGCCAGCACACCTGGCTCCAGTTTTGCTTTTCTTCATTATGCTTAGAAAAACTTGATTCACTGTGTGTCTTCTGTTTCTGGCACATAATAGGTACTGATCAATCCTTAAATGAATAAATGAATGACTGAAAGTTCTATATGATGAAATCACTGGAAAGTGTAATCAACTTTCCTAACACAAGACAATTGTGTTCACAAATTCAACATGGGCCAACTTTGGGTTTTGTTTTGTTTTTTTAAAACATTTCTTTTTTTCCTTGAATTTTCTACAATGAATATATATTACTTACATAACAGAGAAAAGATGGTTTCTTAAAGAAGACATTTTAAGAGTATTATCTATATGCTCTATTCATGTATCTGAATTGGTCTTCATACTTACAGTAAGATGTTGAAAGTCCTTTCACTACACTGTCACAACCCTTCCCTAAATAAAACATGAAATAACTCACATGGGTACCGTGATGACCACCACAGGTCAGCGACACAAAGAAAAGGGAGAAGGCCAGAGTAATTCTTCTCCCCACCCAGATGGACCCAACGCACACGAAGAAGTAGGCGGGGATATCCATGACACCTGCATGAAACAAAGAGGCCTCCCCGAGGCCACTGCCCACCATGCAGGGGACCCTGCCTTGAACCCACCACCCGAGGGGAACCAGCAGCCCTCTCCCTGCCTCCGGGGGTCTTTAGGAACTAAGGACTGCCTGAGAGGCAGGAAACCTTATGGCATTCAACTCTGGAGGGAGGACAAGCGTCCCTGTGAAACACTCAGTGATCCACCTGCTCCTTCACACCTGTACTAGGAGCAAAGCTCCGGAGGACACCGCGGGGTGCCTGGGAGACAAGCCCCTGAATGAATAAAATAACAGATCACAGTACTTCTGATCTTTGGTTTCTTACACTTGGCAGAACTAAGGGGAAATGTATGTATCCATAATTTCAAACCTAGAAACTATTCAAGACAAATGAAAACAGAGACCACAGTTCAGACAGAACCTTGCCCGACAAGGTTATCAGCTCTATGTCCTTGTCAGCATGATTCAGTGAAGTTAAACCAATCAGCTTTAGACAAATGGGCTCAAACAGCTCTGCCTGCCCTGAAAAGAATGCTAATGTATAATTAGTCAATCACAGAAAAGGTCAAGATGGTAGAAATGGTGCCCTCAGGCAAGTTTCTGACCACTTGGTCTGAGACCCTGTTCTTTTGTATGCACAATAAACTTTAATGTTTTAAAATTTTGATATGATTTTATTTTTGACAAAGCTAAAGTAGGAAGCTCCCTATCAACTAGGTACATTAGCTAATGATAACTGTTAAATAGATTTTAAATCTAACACAAATCCCCTGTAGAACAGGGAGTTTGTCTTGGACCCCTCTTTAATCCACAAGGTTAAAAAAAAAAAGCAGCACCTATAAATCTGTAGATCCACTGACAATAAAAACCCTTCCCTACAGAAGCAAAGCCTGAATCTCAGGTCCAGAACAAAAAAGCCTTGTGCCATGAGCCAGCTTCAAATAGGAGCAAGCTGGCAGCAATCCCAGCCAAACAGCAAACCCAGCTATCTCCTTTCACCATTTTTGAGTTCAGTTGTCAGCCATATTTCATAGACCTGTCACAGTACAAGCCCCAGAGAGGCAGGGCTGAGTCTACACATCTCACACAGCTTCTAGAACACATCATAGTGGGTAGATACGAGGCAGGCTAAATTAGGGAAAGTGTGGGACTCATAGAAAAAACATAGCATCTTAGATTAACAACGCTTTGGCTCAGGAACCACCCTCACCTGGTCGGGAACCACCCATGCCCCTCCCCACTCATTGATTATTGCCTGGGAATCTCCTTCTCCCCTTCCCATAGGTTATCATAGGTTTTTAAAAGCACCTGAAAGGCAGAAACACGCTCTCTCGGCTTCTGGCTTCTAACACAGAACTGGGTATAGGCCAGCACTATGATATGGCAGAAGAAATATTTAAAGTGCACCATGGATGTATTCAAAGTGTACTGGTTTTTCTTGAGTTGGTACTTCTTCTATACCAACTATAATACATCCATATCTGGCTTGACTCTGAGATATTAATGGCAGGAGTAAGAAGGCCCAGACCTTTTGGCATTGGACCATGTGCTCTTCCTTCCTTCATTTTATGATACATCATCTCTTGAGTCACTTGAGTCCCATCCACCACATAATCCCAAAAATATGTTGTGAAGATATGAAGTGTATATCACCTGCAACTGGCACAAAACCAGGGTTGAAATTCCATCTCAGGAGGTGCAAACTTGGTCAAAAATTTCAAAGCAGGACCCAGTCACCTGTGGCTCATGCCTGTAATCCCAGCTACTTGGGAAGCTGAGATTGAGACGATCGAGGTTTGAGATCAGCTTGGGAAAGTTCTCAAGACCCCATCTCAATCAATTGCTGGGCACAGTGGTGCATACCTGTTGTCCCAAGCTACTCAGGAGGCTGAGATCAGGAAGACTGATTTCAGGCCAGCCCAGGCAAAAAAGTTTGCAAGACCCCATCACCTGTCATCCTAGCGATGGCAGGAAGCATAAATTAGGAGAATGGTAGTCCAAGTCAGTGAGGGCAAAAAACAAGACCCTATCTCCAAAATAACCAGAGCAAAAAGGGCTGGAGGCGTGGCTTAAATTGTAGAGCACCTGACTTCCAAGTGCAAAGCCCTGAGTTCAAACTGCAAAACAAAATCCTAGCAGAGTACAATAAGAAGTGTCTATGTGCAAAGTTCTAATGAGAAGGGTAGTGGCATGCAAAATTTGAAATCTTGAAAAAATTATACTTATGAGATCATCCAGTTTCTTGATGGTAAGGTTCTTAGGGTTCTTGTTGTTTTGTTGTTTCTGTTTTTTGAGATGGGGTCTTTCTGTTACCAAACCTTGAATTCATGAGTCTAACTGACCCCCCTGCCTCAGCCTCCTGAGTAGCTGGGACTACAGGCATGTACCATTGTGCCTAGCTTAGTTTCTTGAAAATTTAAATCTCTATCTGCTGTAGTTTGGATGTTAAATATCCCCCAAAGACCCATGTGTTGAAGGCTTGGTCCCCAGGATGAGTTGTGCAACCTTTAAAAGGTGAGGCTAGTGGGAGGTCTTTAGGTCATTGGGGCCATTCCATCCAAGGGGATTGTGGGACCCTGCCCTCCTCCACACTGGCTTTTTTGCTTCCTGGTCATGAAGTGAGTGGTCTTGTTCCACTAAGCACTCCCACCAGGTAGCCCTACCTCACCAACCAGCCCAACCAACTATGGACTGAAACCTCCAAACTACGAGCCAGAATAAATCTTTTTCTTTACAAGCTAGTTATTCAGGTATTTTGTTGTAGTGTCAGAAAGCTGACTTACATGATATCAAAATTAAGAAACATTAACATATAAACCATGAGCCGGGGACGTGGCTCAAATGGTAGAGAACCTGCCTAGGTTCCACCACCACTCCAAAATTTAAAAAAAAAAAAAAGAAAGAAAAATATCTGAACCTTCAGTTTTCCTAAGCTTCTCCATGTATACTCCACCCTACCTGCTTCTCCTACCACTTGCTACCATGTTCTGGGATAACTACAGAATGGGTTGCAAGTCAGGATGGGCTCTTCCTACAAACATCTTAGTATCCCTCCCTCCCGCCAAAAAAGAGTAGTTTTAATAACTTCTCTCATAATTCTTGCTGAGTTCTAACAAACAGAAGTCACGATGTCATCAGAGCACTTTGATGAGAAGGGATAATATCTATACATAAAAATGTAAAAGCAAGGTCTTATGAGAGTGACATAAAATGTGGGAAACCTATGCAAAAATAACCAGGAATTCAGACTAGATGGTGAAATACAGATTTCCAGAATTTCCCTCATGTTTAGTTCACATGGTTCATGCTGGAAGTTATAGCTCAAGCTACCTAAAGCCATTTTAACCTGCTACTAAAATGAAATCAGCATGATAACATAAATGATATTTGTGTGTATTAAAGTTATTTTGCTTACTAAAGTTTCTGAACAAGGGACATTTGGAAGTAGAAAGATACCACATCTCCAAGATGTATTACATTTTAAAAGAAAAGGGATCTGCAAAGAACAGTATGTAGTGAATTATTCAGATTACATGCAGAAAAATATATGAAATTGCACAGAAAAAGAGTTGAAAGGGTACAAGAAGTTCCTCTGGGAAAAATTACAGGGAAGGGATGGATCTAAAGCAAAGAAGCAGGCAAGGAAGGAAGGAGGAAGGGAGGGAAGAAATGCCCCCTTCTGGCTGTTATCTTCTTTTCTTTTCAAAAGGAAGATGCATACATGTGTTTTGGTAAAATAACATTAAAAGATACCATAATAATGTGGTTGGTAGTATTGTTCCTGGTATAAAAAGATTATAACCGCACATAAAAAAAAGATGGCAGAAATACCACTTCATTGCCACATTTAAATATATTTTAACTACTTACTCAGTAGGAAGTAGAGAAGGAATTCATGTTTTCCTATGTTAAGAGTATCCAAGGTGAACGTGTAGAATCCCAAACTCCCCGTCAACCAAATCAGCCAAAGGATGATTGTCCTTATTGTGACACTCCTGTCATAAAACAGATTGACTAGGCTGTGCTTTACTGAAGTACGGCTGTTGCCATCAGGATCATTTGCGTCCAGCGACAACAGTTCTGACAGGTTACAGGAGTTGGCCTTGTTCCACACGGCCATCGTGTCAACTACTCTCTGTGCTTCTTTATACCTGCCTTATGAGAGAAGCCAAAAAGGTGTCTCTGGGAGCATCCAACAGCACAAGATAAAGGGAACAGTTGCTGTGGAAAAGGTCATCTGATAAAGCCACCAGGTTCTGATGAAGTAGCTTACCAAAGCCACCAACTTGGTTCTAATTCCAAAAAACGTGTGCATATGGATGGATGCCCACGTCCGAGACTTCATGCCAATGAATTCCATCACATAGACAAATACCACCACAAGATAGCCACTTACAGCCTGAAAAACAAAGGGAGGTCCAGATTTAAGGTCACATTTATAACTACTGAGGGGTTTGATCTCTCTGCAAATCACATAGGTAAGAAAGAAAATGACTCATGAATGTGAAACCCATTTCACATTTATAAAACAGTAAGTATTCATTCTGTTCCATCTTCCTTTTTTAATGGGTCCTTTTACTCTCCCCCCCACCCCAATCACAGACTTGAGAGATTATTTTAATTGTAGATGCTGCCTTTTGTTTCATTCCAATGTTCCATTGTAGTATGGATTTATTTCTCAGTACCTTCTAAATGCGCACACACACACAGTCCTTATTGTTAAATCCTACTTGTTAAATAGGGGCACAAAATTTATAGTAAAGAGTAGGAAGAAAAACATACTTTCTTAAACCTATTTGACAGGCAACAACAAAAAATAGACAAATTAGACTTCATGAAAATGAAAATTTCCATGCGTCAAAGGATACTATTAACAGAGTGAAAAGACAACCTACAGAATTAGAGAAATCACACGCAAGTCATACATTTGATAAGGGATTATACACAGAACTCCTGAAACTTAATAACAAAACCCAAATGATTCCATTTAAAAATAGGCAAGGGACTTGAATAGACATTGAATGGCCAAAAGGCACTGAAACGGTGCTGGATGCCACTGTGAGGGCGATGGAAATCAAACTGCAATGAGCTAAGCACAGGCAGCTCACACCTGTAATCCTAGTACTCTTGAGTCTGTGATAAGGAGGACTACAGTTTAAGGCAAACTCAGGCGAATAGCTTGAAAGACCCCATCTCAAAAATAACTAGGTGTGGCTCAAGAGGCTGAGCACCTGCTTTGCAAGTGTAAAGCCCTGAATTCAAACCCTACCCCTCCAAAAAAAAAAAACCCACAAAAAATAAACATTGGTAGAAATTTAGCCAAACTGGAACCCTTGTGCACTGTTGGTAGGAATGTAAATGGCACAGTCCCTATGGAAAACGATATGGCAATTTCTAAAAAATTAAAAATAACATTACCATACAATTAGCAGCTCCACTTCTGGGTGTATAGCAAAGGCTTTGAAAGTTCAAAGAAGGAATTGTTACACCCATGTTGATAGCAGCTTTACTCACAACACCTAAAATGCCAAGGCAACCTATGTGCCTAGCACCAAATGAATGGATAGGTAAGACTGTGCACACTTGAAAACGAAAGGAATTCTGATCTATACAACATGGATGAACCTTGAGGATGTTACACCAAGTGAAATAAGCCAGGCCCAAGAGAACATGCTGCATGGTTTCACTTAAATATGGTACCTCAAGTGGTCAAAATCATAAATATAGAACACAGATGATGACTGTCAGGGGCTGGGGAGAGTAGGGACAGGAGTCATTGTTTAATGGGCACAGTTTTGGTTTTGAAAAATGAAGGGAGTTCTGAAGATGCATATAATGGTAATGGTTGTAAAATAACAGGAATGCATTGAATATCACTGAACTATACATTAAAAAATGACTGAGATGGCAAATTTTGTCATGTGTAGTTTACTACAACAAAATGGTAGGGGACTTATATTTTGAAAACACACCTATCTTTTTATTTTGCTTTGTTTTGTTCTGTTTGTGGTATTGGGGTTTGAACCCAGAGTCTCTAGGCAGGTGTTCTACCACTTGAGCCAGTCTGCCAACCTTGTTTTGTTTTCTGCGACAGGATGTCACTAATGTAGCCCAGGTTGGCTTTGAACTCATAATCCTCCTGCCTCAGCCACCCAAATGCTGGAATTACAAGTGTGTGCCACCATGCCCAGCTAAAATATGACTACCTTTAATTTAACAAAATTTAGATTATAAAACACTATCTGATCACTTGGGATAAACAAGAATGAATCAGATGTAGAGTTTTGTAGGGAGGTTGAAAGGATTCAAATTTTACCTGCAAAATTATTTTGCATTTGACTTTTACAACACAAAGTATGAAGTTACTTCTTGCAAAATTATCCTGAAGCACCACTGATTTCCCCAAAAGCCTCTTAATCCTTTGGTATCTGGATCACTCTCTTTTGAAGAACCTTTTGCAGACTCAAGGTGTCATTATCCTCAGTGTTTAACTGGACTATCTCTGCCACATCCAGGATTTGGTCAAGGATTTGGGGTAGGGTTCAGGCAGTTTTCCCTTATTGCTTCTAAAGACTTTCTGTAGTCACACATCCCTTGTAAGATCTGCAGTCTACCTGGCACCTGTCGCAGAGGCAGGTCTATGGGATGTTGCTGGGATGACCCATGGTTGACAAGAGTAGAAAGCAGAGAAGCACACAATAATGACTACCGTATCAATGGCCCGTTTAATATTTTTGTGATGACAGCTTGTATTTCCCTATTCAACCTCAACAATAGCAAGATTCAGACAATGAACCCTGATAATCAGGCCCCTGTATCCAATAATCTAGCAGTTGCCTGGTGTATGCTGTTCTTATGACAAAGATTGTGACAGTCTTCAAATTCTGCAAATCACACAGTTCAATTAAAGGGTAACATCAGTCCCTGTCAGGTTTTTCAACACTAAGTATTTCTCTGGAGTCCACTTCCATTTCCCTCTAGGTCACTTCTGTCCCTGCATTCACACATCCCCTACGCAACTGCTTGGGTGATTCCCAAAGACTATTTGCATCCATTTGTACCCATGAGCCCCACTGCCAACACTATTCCTCATGCCTGCTCTGACTCTGTCTCCCCTGCACCTTGCCTGTGTCCCTTTGGTGGATTCCCCACCTTTAGGAGACACACCAAAGCCTTCACCATCCTACAAAGTCCATGCACTGCCCCTCCTTCAATGTACCTGACCTCCTCTCCATCGTCCAGACAGCATGGTTTAATTCTTTCTCACCCCTGGCCCTTCTCACCTGCTGCTACCTTTGCTGGAATTTTCTTCTTTCACCCCTGTCCCACAGCTCAGAAGCCCCTGACCCTCTAGACCCTAAAGGGACCCCCCTCCTCTGTATCGAGGTATGTACATATGTATTTGTTATTGGTTACATAGTCTATTTTGTGAAAATCCATCAAGACATATATTTATAATATGCATACTTTTATGTATATTTCTTTTTTTCTTTATTTATTTGATACATAAAAGTTGTACACATTTGTAGGGTTACCATGTGTTTTGAGACATGTAGAAGTCGTATAATGCTCAAATCAGGATAAGCCTATCTATCCCCTCAAACATTTATTATTTCTTTTTGGTGAAAACATTCCAAATCCCTTCTTTTAGCTTTTTAAAAATAAACCACACATTATCACTGTGTATAGTCACCCTATTATGCAATAGCACACCGAACTTATTTATCCTAACTGTAACCTAGTACCTGTTACCTAACCTTTCCCCATCTCTCCCTCCCCCGTGTCCCCAGCCTCTGGTCACCACTATTCTACTCTCAAATTTGATACGACCAAGCTTTTTAAATTCCACCCAAGAGTGAGGTCAGGTAGCATTTGCCTTTCTGTGCTGGCTTATTTCACTGAACATAATGATGCTCCATCCCTGCCATCATAAGTGATGGAACTTCTGATCAAACTTTTGCCTTTCCCCTATACAGCAGATTGATTAAAATAGCCAGGTCTGGTTTATTTAGCATTAGACTCTTTAAATGAATCTTGCTGCAACTCCCATAGTCAAAATTCTACCACAAATATATTTCCCATGAAAATCAAAGAAAAAGTCACTGATAATGAAGGCCATGTTTCACAGATGGATTCCATGGATGTGACCTCATTTCCTTGGCTCTGTGAACCAATATGCAGTATTTTGCAAGCCTCAAAGAGAAACCCTGTCCTCATAAGTTTTTCAAAGAGGACTTTCAAAACCTGACTGGAGTTACAGAGCCATGTGCTCAATAGAGACAGAACTCCTAGCTGCAGTCTCTCCTATCACTAACTCTTTCCACTCCTAAAATACACGTTTACTTTTTATAAGGTGCCACACTTTCAATTTTCCTGCATCTGTGTATATCCTCTCAAATCTTTGGCAGTCCTTTCCAGCCACCGAAACAGAACATACCACCTTGTTCCCTGAAGGATGCAGACATGTCTTCTGAACTTGAAGTCAGGGCTTCTCTCTGGACCTCAGGTCATCCACCCTGTTGAGGGGAATTTTAATGCATACCCTGCTCTGCTGTTAGCAAGATCACAAACGCTTCTCCCATTATCCACCATCAGTGATCTCCAGTTAAAAATCACTGCCACTGGTGTTTGATGGTTTGGACACCTGTCTAGAAGCCTCAGCACACGTGGAAACAGCTTCAGTGCCCACTTCAGATAACAGTGATCATTGCGAGGCACAGTGCCAGGCACTGGAACTTTGGATATTTGTATTTAATCTCACTGAAGCCTCATGACAGCCCAATGAAACAGGCATTATTGTCTAGAGGATAGCATGTTTGCTCAAGGTCATGCAGCTAACAAGCCAATACATGACAAAGATGGTATTCAAACTCATGTTTGTCCACTGCCCCCCTATTCCTCCTAACGCAGGCCTACTGGCTCATTTTCATCCTCACTGTACATGATATGAATGACTTTAATGACACACTTTAACAGTCTGGTTCCTGTACAGGCCCTGACTGGACCAATATAATTGCTCAAAAATAAAATAATGACTTCCTTATTGTGAGATGTGGGCCATGTACCAGACAGAATCAAAATAAAAATTTCTGCCCAGTAAGCAGCACTTTTTTATTTTAATAAGTTTCTTTCCTTCTTTTCGTTTCTTTCTTTCTGTTTGTGTTTTTGCCTTTGTTTTGTTTTGTTTTGATGGTACTAGGACTTGAACTCCGGGCTTCATGTTGAATGAGTTCCATTTTCAACACAGAACATTAATATTCCACAGAAAGTCTTCTGCAGTAGAGTGAACAAAGATTAGTCCATCCTTCTTCTCTCTCACTAGATTCTAAATAAGCAAAACTAAGAGAATTAAGGTTAACATGGAAATCCTGCAGTAGAACTAAAATAGTAAAAACCCCAACTCACCATGGCAAGCAAAAAGCGTGAGGCCATGAAGCTGAAATAATCAAACATCAAGGCTGATGATACTCCGGACAAAAACATGCCTATGCTTGTGGACCACAGAATCAGTTGTCTTCCCAGCCTGAAAAACACCAAGTACATAGGGCAAGAAGCAAAGCACATTCCAACAGCTTAAACACCTACATGAAAGATGAGCATTCCCTCTATTTTGTTGTTGTTTTACGCTACTGGGGTTTGAACTCAAGGCTTTGTGCTTGCAAGGCAGGGGCTCTACTTCTTGAGCCACACCTTCAGTCCTTTACCTCTGTTTTTAATAGCTTATATATTTGATAATTTTATGCAGTCATTTATTTGGGGGAAAAAATCATGAGTTAACACATTTTTTCTACAAAGACCAGCCTCTCAGTGTTAACTAGGCTGCTGAGATATGTACATAGTCACTCTGGGGCTGGGGGAAAGGGAAGCGGGATCTGTCCTTTCCCTCTCAGGACGTCAGCTCGTTGCTCTGCTGGGCCATCCTTCCCACCGGTCTGGCTCTGTCCAACAATGCCTTGTTTTCATTCATGTCACCATGGCTGTGACAACTCTTGCGGAGCCCCTCTAAAACCGACGTCATGCTACCTCTACTGCTACAAGGAGGTGCACACTTGCCCTATACTCTCATGACTGAGAGAGGCGTTTCTTTGTCTGAAAAACAAATAATACTCCTGACATATTTTCTAAATTGTGATATACTTCAACTGTCATTCCAAAAATCACCCCAAAGAGAAACTCTTTACCTAGGAGTCATCACTTCCCATTCCCTGTTCCCCCAAAGTCCCTGGAAACCATGAATCAACTTTCTGTGACTGTAGATTTGCCTCTACTGGACATTTCACATGAGAGGAGTCAAACAGTATGTGGTCTTTTGTGTCTGGCTTCTTTCACTTAGCACTATGTTCTCAAGGTTCGTCCATCATAGAACAGCAATCAGTACTTGATTTGACTGCTATTATGAATGAATGCACTTTGTTTACCTATTCACTGGATGTTGGACATTGGGTTGTTTCTAATTTTTTGCTATTATGAATGATATTGTTGTGAACATTCATGAACCATATTTTGTAAGAACTATTTTTGTGTGTGTGGTGGTGCTAAGGTTCAAACGTAGGGCCTTGTGTATGGCTAGGCAGGAGTTCTACCACTGAGCTACATCCCCAGCCCTTAAATTTAGTGAGACCTTATTCTGTTTTCAATAATTCTGAGTGTACACCTGGTTGTGACATTACTGGGTCATATGGTAACTCTATGTTTGACTTTTTGAGGAACTGCCAAACAGTTTTCCAAGATGGCCACCCCAGTTATAATCCCACCAGCAATGATGATCGTTGTCTTTGTGTGTGTGTGTGTGTGTGTGTGGTACTTGGGTTTGAACTCAGGGCCTCGTGCTTGCTAGGTAAGTATTCTACCACGTGAGCCATTCCATCAACCAGTTATCATCTTTTTATCATTTACCTTCTTGATTATAGCCATCCTAGTAGGGATGAATTAGATCTCACTGTGGTTCTGATTTACATTTCTCTAATGATGTGTTGGGCTTATTGACCATTTTTATTTACCCTATAGAGAAATATCTACACAAATCTTTGCTATTTTAATTTTTTGTTGTAGGATTTTTTCTGTGCTTTTTTATTGTTGTAGGTTTGTTTTTTGAGACATGATCTCACTATAAAGCCCACACTGGGCTTGAACTCACTGTCCTCCTGCTTCAGCTTCCCAAGTGCTGGGATAACAGGAATGAATCACCATGCCTGACCTGGTTTTAAATTAGTCTAACTTTTTTTAAATGATGAATTATAAGAGTTCTTTATATATTCTGCATACAAAACCCTTATTGGGAGAGACAAGAAAGGGTAATAGAGAGGGTGAACATGCTCAAAGAATGTTATATGCATATATGGTTGTCACGATAAAATCTGTTATTTTGTACAATTAGTATAAAAAGTTTTTTTTACACTTATCAGATACCTGATTTGCAAATATATCCCTGTGAGTTTTGTCTCCGACAAAAGAACATTCCAACCAACAGGTTTGCTGGTATGCCAGCAAAAGTGCATGTACACAGAAACTGTCATCTTCTTCACACCTTAGCCTTCTCGCTTCCACTCACGTTCCTAGGGTGAGTGCTCCCCAGTCCCACCTGAGGCCTGAATACCACCTATCACCAATGGAGCCCCTTCCCACCCAACACCTTCACCCTCTGCAGGTGTGTGGTGTCTCCTGCAGAGAGCAGAGGCAATTGAGGACCCCGCAGCTTCCTGCCCTGCCCCTTAAGCACTAGCCAGTGCCTGCAGTCAGCCCCCTTTTTTTCCCACCTGTCTCTCCACACACCATTTTTCAATCTTTGTATTGGATCACAGCTCTCCCCACCTCCTCTGAGAACTTAGTCTATCCACTTCTTCTTGTCCCTCTGTCTTTTTCTTTCTTCTAACTCCTTTCTCTCAGTTTAAGTCTTAGCCAGCCAAGTGGCTCCTTTAGGTACCTTACATTCCTCCTGACAGACTTACCAGAAGGAAATGCTTCCTTCTTTAGTAAATGGCAGCTGGCAACACCAGCTTTGCTGAGATCCCTTTGCAGCCATCAGGGACTCCTAATTGCCCATCTGTGGTGCCACTGACCCTGCCTAGACATCATGGCCCTGCTCGCCCATGGCTTGCAGAGCCCCACTCTCTCCCTGATGACCCTGTTCCCATGTCAGCATTTCCTAACGCCCTCTGTGACACAGCTGTCCTCATGATCCATGTCCTCCCAGCTCTGATTGCTCCCCACTCACCTCCTGGCCCTCCTTCTTCCCTCTACCTCAATGTCCTGAAGAGCTGCAATCTTTTATCACCATGCTGTTAATTTGAATATATCCCTCCTTTCCCATAATCCAGAAAAGTGCACACATTGAAAAAGCATCCAAACATGTGTCCCTGTCCTCTAAAACTGCTCTTGCCTGGTATTTCCTGAATAGGATGCCAACATCTCCTGCCATCCAGGCTCCTGAACCCCACTCTCCCCCATCCTGCCTATTCATCACCAAATTCTGTCTGTATCAAAATGCCTCCCAAATATGTCTTCATCTTTCTCTCCCCACTCTCCTGCTTTTGCTCATTCCTTCACCATATTTTTTTCCCTTTGGTGGGACTGAGGTTTGAACTCTTGGCTTCAGCTTACAAAGCAGGAGCTCTACCTCTTGAACCATGCCTTCAGCCTATTTGGCTATTTTGGAGATGGAGTTTCATGAACTATTTGCCCAGGCTGGCCTTGAACCTTGATCCTCCTGTTCTCAGCCTCCCTGGTAGCTAGGACCACAGGCATGGGTCACCATTTCTTAGTTCATTGCACAGCTTTCCACCTAGTATTAACTTCACACCAGTGAACTGCTGGCCCACACTTCCTGGAAATACACCAATCCTGGCCATGCTTTTGTCTCCTGTCATTTCCTTTATCCATCCTGCTCTTGTTCCACACAACCCTTCCCTGGATGCATGAGCTGCTCCTTTCCCCTTGGAAAGCCTTGTCCATCTGACAACTTTTGTGGAGCTTTGAAAACCCAGGTCAGATATGAAGCCTTTCCTCATCAGCATCTGGGGTCTCAGAGCAGAAATCGTGACCAGGCGGCACAGTACTTTGGGCATACTGGCTCCACGCCCTCCCATCCAAGTGACCTTTCTGTGCTTCCTCCTCCCCATCAGTGGAAAAGAACCATGAGGGCCCACCTCACAGATGCCTTTAGTAGTTACACAACTCACAGGTCATCTAGAATATACCTAGTGCATAGTAAGTCTTTCTCACACCTGAGTAATGATTATTTTTTAAATTATCATTTAAAAGACTGTCTCCTCTTTCTTTTCTTTTTATTATGTCGCACACGAGAATGCATAACATTACAGTATAGAGAAAAATAACTAAATACCTAGAAGTCACAGCCCAGGGCAAGCAAGATGTCATCGCCAGCCACTAGATGTCACATTTCCTTGTGATCGCAAGCCCTTGCCTTCCTAGGAGGAGCCAGTAGCCTAATTCTGGTGATAATCAATTTCATTTTACCACTTTCATATGCAGCACTAAAACAATATGTTATTATTTATAAATAATATAGGTTAGATAAGCCATTGATTTTTAACCTTTTTGGCTTTTTTTTTGAGGCAAAACTTTGTATCCAGCTGATTTCAAACTCAGTACTCCCTGTCTCAGCCTCCCAAGTGCTGAGAGGGAGGGAGGAAGGGAGGGAGGGACAGAAGAAGGAAGAAAGGAAGGAAAGAAGGAAGAAAGGAAGGAAAGAAGGAAGAAAGGCCTAAAGGAAGGAAGTTGCATATTTGGGGTCATGCGTATGAAGGAGATATTGGGACCCTAGCCTCTCCCTCTCACTGTCTTTGCTTCTCAGTTGCCACAAGGTGAACAGGTCTCCTCTGACCAGTGCTCCCACCCAATGTACTGTGCTACCACAGGCCCAAAGCAACAATCCAAGCAAGCATGAACTGAAACCTTGCAACCGTCAGCCAAAATAAACCTTGCCTTCTTTTGTGTTGATTATCTCAGGTATTTTTCACAGTAATGAAAAGCTGACTAACATGGTAAATCTTGTTGTAGGTGTCTTGTACCAGGTTTTTTTTTTTTTTTGAAGTACTGGGATTTGAACTCAGGGCCTCACACTTGCTAAGCAGGTACTCTACCACTTATGCCCCAGCCCTGATTCTTGCATTTTTAGTTTTATCATGAATGAATTTTGCAATTTATCAAAAGTTCCCTTGCATTTATTGAGTTAATCATATGAACTTTGTCCTCCATTCTGTTAACCAGTTGTTTAGTTTCTAATATTAAATATATCTCAGAATTTCTCCCTCTTTCTCTCTGAATTTTAATTTCTCCTATTTCCCATCTTTTTGTGTTTTCAAGTTTCATTGTTGATAATTTTTTCTGAGCTGTCATCCACTTCATTAATTCTTTCTTTAGCTGAGTATAATAGGTTACAATAACCAGGGGATTTGTCATTCACTTGTATTATTTTTTTTATTTCTAAGTTTTTTTATCCTCATTTTCTTCAATTTTATGTCATTTTCAATACAATTTCCAGTTTTTATTTATATTTTCAAACTTGTCTTCTATTTTATTTAAAGTAGTAAGCATAGGTATTTTATTATTTGTGCACAATAATTCCAGTACTTGAAGTCTTTGTGCAGAAGTCTGCTTCTGCTGTCTATTGCTTCTGCTGCTTCTCACTCATGGTTCCTTTAGTCAATGTGTCCTAGTTTTGACTGAGCTACTTAAATGCCATGAGAAATAGTTTCTGTGAATCTTCCCAGGCTGAGGGTGATGGCGAACAAAGGGCCTTAAATTTGATTTAGCTCTACTTTTAAATTAATAATCTGTTGCTGTTTAAAGGATGCTGGCGAAAAACATAAGGCCCATGGGTCAGAGAAAAAGAACTTGTTTACGTATACCATCGCAGAAAGCAGCAGAGCATTAGCACATCTAAGTTAGTTCTCTTGAACCACCTGGGAACACCTGCACCTGTAGAGTATTGCATTACAAAAGAGCAACACTGGACTTGGGGAATCCACTGCTTTTACAGCAATTATTCAGTCTGCTCTTTGTGACAGAAAGAGGATCTTTTATCTTTTCTTTTCTTTTTTTTTTTTTTTTTTGAATTCAGGGTTTTGTGCTTGAGAGGCAGGTATTCTACCACTTGAGCCACACTCCTAGCCCATTTTGCTCTGGTTATTTTGGAGATGGGGTTCAATTTTTTGCCCATGCAGGCCTGGACGGTAATTCTCCTATTTTATGCTTCTTGAATCTCTGGGATAAGAGATGAGTACCACCATGCCCAGTTTTTTTCTGTTGAGATGGGATCTCACTTTTTGCCAGGGGTGATCTAAAACTTCAATCATTCAGATCTCAGCCTCCCACATAGCGAGGATAACAGGCATGTGCCACTGTGCCCAGCAATTGGTTGAGATGGGGGTCTTGTGAACTTTTTGCCCCAACTGGACTTGAACCATGGTCCTCCCTTATCTCAGCCTCCCAAGTAACTAGCATTACAGGCGTGAACCACCAGAGCCCAGCCCATTACCTCATCTTTTAATGTTATCAGCTGCATTAACAGCTGAGAAACAGTCTGTGCAAAAGTGGTCAGAGACTTGCAGCCTTGGCCCAGCCAGCGAGATGTGCAGAGGCCCCAGAAAGACTGCCCCTCTCAACGAATTCCTGTAGGAGGATAGCAATTTCTGAGCATCTTGAGACACTGCCAATCTGGGAAGGACCAGGTTAAATAATTTCTTAGCTTGAGGTTTTTCTGGGAGCTCCCAAGCTATGTTAATTTGAGCTAAATACCCAAATGAGTACTGACTTGTGATTTCAGTTTTTAAGGACTTTAAAAAATACAAATCCCTACATCTAGCAAAATAACTGGGGCACAGGTGTTCAACATATGTTTGTATAACTGCACTAAGTTTACACATGAAGGAACTCAATTTTCTTTCATTTAACATAGTCTGGTTTTTTTTTAAGCATTAGTTATATCCCATTTTTGTCCTACAGCAAATGTATTTTAGTACATTTACTTAGTACATGTGTTTGAAATATTTTTAGTCTCAAGTGTCAAGCTTGACATTTTAACAGAAAAGGCCCAAGTGATAATGTGTGCACGAACCTACCAAACAAAAATGAACACTCAGCCTCTGTGAGTGTTCTATGAGAAGTACAGCCCTGGCCACAACAAAACCCCTAAAGTTTTCTTCAGATATGTTTGTCAGTCACAGTAAAGTGGCATATCCCAAAGGCAAGGATTTCTGACTTAAGCTATTATCTTTAGGTCCCCAGTGCCTCACACATGGCTATAAAATTCACAGCTGTGTTGATCAAGTAAGTTCCTCTCTGTGCTTTTTTTTTTTTTTTTTTTTTTTTTTTTTTGTAATATGGACCGCTTCACGAATTTGTGTGTCATCATCGCACAGGGGCCATGCCAATCTTTGTATCGTTCCAATTTTAGTATATGTGCTGCCCTGTGTGCTTTGGTAGGTACTTCAAGTATGGTCCATGTCCACATGGAGATGAACTTTGTTTGGCTCTAAGAGGTAAATATTTATTTTAATGTGAATGTTGTAAAAATATGACTGCTCTATGATCTGCATGATGGTGTCCTTTCCAAAATTCATGTCAAAACTTAATCCCCAATGCAACTGTATTAAGATGTGTGGCCTTTGGGAGCGGATTAAGTCATGAGGGGTGCTCCTCTCAGGAAGGGAATTAGCACCTTTATAAAAGCACTGAGGGACTGAGGCTGCTTTGCAAGCCTGAAGCCCTGAGTTCAAAACCCCAGTCCCACCAAAAACAAATAAATAAATAAAAGCGCTGAACTCTGAAGGCAGTGCACTCTTGCCCTTCCACCCCTTCTGCCATGTGAGGACACGATGTTAATCTCCTCTGAAGGACACGGCAACAAGGCATCATCTTGCAAGCAGAGTAGCCCTCACCGGACATCAGTCCTGCTGACACATTGATCTTGGACTTCCCAGCCTCCAGAACAGTGAGAAATAAACATCTATTATTTACAAATTACCCAGTCTGAGAGATAAACATCTATTATTTACAAATTATTATTACAAATTGCAGGTGGTATTTTGGCTATAGCAGTACAAAGAGGTTAAGACAAGCTAGTATATCAAATTTTCAATTTTGTAGGTTGCCTAGGACCAGACTATCACTCTTCAAAAGGAAGTCTATTTAAAGAAAAAAATCTGGCTGGAAGTGTGGCTCAGTGGCATCATTCTTGCTCTGCATGTCTGAGGCCCTAGGTTCGAGCCCCAGTACCACAAAAATAAAACACTTTAATAAAGAAAAAAATCAACTAAAGTAATAACTAGTATCTACTAAGCAACTTCTTCTGTACCAATTTTGCAATAACCTTTTAAGGGTTTTACTAGCTCCTAAACTGATATTCTGAAACACAGCTGAATGAGGCAATGTCACAGCTAATAAGAAGTAAAAGAAGCCGACTTTCCTAGAAGCCATCCACCTACCACTATGTTATTTTGCATCTCTAAATAATGGATCCTCAAAGTGGTAGATAGTTAGATAGAAGGTATGACAATGACTGAAGTTTTGGACATAATTCCCTGTTCCCAAGGAAAATCAGACAGAAAGGTGAACCCCACGCTGATGCAACAATCGTAAGTATTTCATTTTACCTGTCAGAAAGGCAGCCAAAAATAATCGCTCCCAGCAGGTTTCCTAGCATGAATATGGGCTGAATTGCCTTTGCATACCACTTCTGCTCACAGACCAGATTCCACCTGGACACCATAGAACTTTTCCACTTGCTCTGGTCATATACGTAACCGTCCAAGCAAGGAATGGCACGCTTATAGCCACTCTACTCGTAGTCAAAATGTGATGTGTTCTCCCTCCAGATCCTGCTGCATCTTGAAAGCTCCCAGGTCTCACTATCCTGCAGCTTCACTGTAATGTGATCTTTCTGGCCTGGAGACAACAGGGCCAAGATGTCCTCCAACTTCCAGGTAGAGTAATTGTGGGAGATAGCCTGTTTGACTAGGCCCGTGGGTTTGCAGGTGTGCTCAGGGGTAATAGACATGAACACAGAAGTCAAGTAGTGAATATCACAAGAGATGTTCTGGTAGGCACATATAAAATACAGCAATATCTGGAATCTATAAGTGGAAGAAAAGTTAGTTATTATAGCTTGCCTATAGATGGAATACCAAAAAAAGCAAGTATGAGGACATCAGGTTGCCTTTAACATATATATAGAAGGGTAAATACAGAAATAATTGTAGGGGTGCTTGTATCTATGGGTTAGTATATATAGAGAGAGATATATAGATATATAGATATATATCTCTCTATAGATATATATATCATATTATCTTCCTCTGGCTCCTAAGAAGCTTAGAAACAATGATAAACCAAGAGTAACAAACACAACCACTACCCATATCTCAGTTGTTAAATGCTATTCTCCAATAATAGGAGCCAGGAAAAATGGCTGAGTCTAAGCTCAGGATAGGGAGAATACAAGATAAGTCTGGAGTATCTTGTAGTATCAGAAACTTAGGACAAGCCAGGCACTAGTGGCTCACACCTATAATCCTAGCTATTCAGGAGGCAGAAATCAGGAGGATTGAGGTTCTAAGCCAACCCAGGCAAATAGTTCATGAGACCCTATCTCAAAAAAAAAAATAGCAAAAAAAAGGGCTGGTGGAGTGGCTCAAGAGGTAAGAGTGACTGCTTAGCAAGCATAAGGCCCTGAGTTCAAACCCCAGTGCAGCAAAAAAAAAAAAAAAAAAAAGTAAGGACATGCTTAAAAACCAAAAGGATAAGGGAATGTGAAAAAGACACAGGAACCAACCTAAAAGAGCTGCAAATGGCCAAAGCTGAAACAGTTAGAACAACAAATAAACATTACAAAGTATAAAACAAATGTACGTGATCACCCTGTGACAGTCAATTTTATGTGTCAACTTGGCTGGCTTAAGGGAGGCCCAGATAGCTGGCAAAACATTATTTCTGCACGTGTCTATAAGCTGTCTCTAGAAGAGATTAGCATTCAATCAGTAGACTGCCCAGTGGGGCAGGCATCATCCAATCCCTTGAGGACCTGAACAGATCAGAGAGGTAGAAGGCCATGTCTCTATCTCTGCTTGACAACCATTCTCTCCTGTCCTCAGACATCAGAGCTCCTGGTTCTTGGGCTTTTGGACTCAAACTGGGACTTGCACTCTCACCCATCAATTCTCAGGCCTGTGGTTTGGGAGTGAGTTACACCATTGGCTTTCCTAATTCTCCAGCTTGCAGCTGGTAGACCATAGGACTGTGCAAGCTCTTTAAGAGCCAGTGCCTGTAATAAACTATACATATAAGGGTGTATGTATATATATGTATATACATGCACACTCTTATAGGCCTCATGTCTCTGAAGAACCCTGACAAGCACAGGGTTCTAGAGGAACAGAACTTTAAGAATGAGTTTTCTCAATTGGTTCCGGAGTTCCTTGAATTGGTTCTCTAATTTGATTTGATTTAAGGATGCTGATGGTTCCATTTCCAGTAATAAAGACAGTCCTGATAATCCATGGTGTAAACTGTTTATAGAGAATTGCAAAATACGTCCACTGGATATTTTTCATCAATCACTTAGAAGAAGCAAAAAGCTAAGCAACTCCATGTGTCAAACTTTTGAACATTTTTGGAAAACTAAGAAACCAACACTGGTGGCTGCTCCTATTGTCCCTACCCAGACAAAATGGTGAAAGGAAAAGATTGAGTCCAAGGATTCCCAGGGTAAGAGCCGCATACATGACCAAGAGCTCCTAGGTGTGCCCTGAAGGTCAGCCTTAGCCCTTATAGGCACCCAACTGAAATTGCTGAAATTATAACTCCTCCTGGGCTCCTTTGGATTTTGGAGGCAACTCATTCCTAATTTGGGGTGTTACTCTGACCCATTTACTGAGTAACCTAAAACTAGCTTCTTTTGGGTGATACCCAGAACAAGAGTGGGCTCTGCAGTAGGCCTACACTTCTGTATGAGCTGCCTTACCACTTGGGCTACAAGATCTGTAAGGTCCAATGGTGCCTGCAGTGGCAGTGGCAGATAAGGATGCTGTTTGGAGTCTTTGGCAGGCCCCACTAGGCAAATTGCAAAGCAGACCTTTAGGAGTTCGGAGCAAGGCCCTCCCATCATGTTTAGATAACAGCTCTTGGCTTGCTACTGAGCCTCAATAGATTAAATATTCAACTATATTCCAAGAAGTTACACTGAGCTGCCCATCATGAACTGGGTGTCAGCTGATCCACCAACCCACAGCTGGGCATGCTCAATAACTCTCCATAGTCAGTCATATGATGGGATCCAAGAAAACCCTGAAGACACAAGTTACATGAAGAACTGGCCCAAATATGTATGGTTCCTGCTCCTGCTACACTGCCTTATCTCTCCCATCCTGCACCTATGGCCTCGTGGCCCAGTGATCAGTTGACAGAAAGACTGAAGTCTGGTTTACAGATGGTTCTTATTATGATTCGAATGTCCCCATTAAGTATTAAGAGGGTAGAAACTCAATCCAAATATGAAATTGGGAGATGGAACTTTTGGGAGATAGTTAAAATTAAATGAGGCCAAAAGGGTAGGGGCCTTAACCCAATGGGATTTATAAGAGGAGGAGGAAAGACCTGAGCTAGGATGCTCTGACTTTCCATGGATACCCTGCATCACCTTGGAATTCTGCAGCAAGAGCTGCCTCATCAAATGCAGTCACCCAATATTGAACTTCCCAGCCTTCAGAAACATGAAACAAATAAGTCATTATTCTTTATAAATTACTTGGTCTGTGGTATGCAGTTATAGCAATACAAAATGGACTAAGACAGTTCTGCTTGAAATGCAAGTATGTCCCAAAAGTCCAACTAGCACACGAAAGCCCTCTCTGGGACATCCCTAAAGACAGTAGTAAAAGGAAATTTTCTCTCTGGGAAGAACGTTGAGCAGTATACTTGTTATGCACTTTGCTTGGCAGGGAAATAACCAGGTGTGCAATTATATGCCAGTTCGTGGGCTGTGACCAATGGTTTGGCCAAATGGTCAAGGAGTTGGAAGGAACATAATTGGGAAACTGATGATACAGAAGTTTGGGGAAGAATTATGTGGATTGTCCTTTCTGAATGGGCAAAAACCTGAAGATACTTCTTTCCCACTTTCACGAAAGATGACCTCAGTAGAGGAAGACTTTAATAATTCAAGAAGAAAGGATCCCCATTCTGTGGATACCTGTCAGCCTCTTCCCAGAAACCCCATTATCTCCTAAGGGACTCATGAACAAAGTGGACATGGTGGCAGGGGTGGAAGTTATGCATGGGCTTAGCAACATGGACTCTCACTCGCCAAAGATGACCTGGCTATGGTCACCTCTGAGTGCCCAATCTGCCAGACACCAACACTGAAACACCAATATGGCAACATTCTCTCAAGTGATCTGTCAATTACCTAGTGCCAAGTTGATTACATTGAACTACTTCTATAATGAAAGGGCAGCATTCTATTCTTATAAGAATAAACCTTTACTCTGGAAATGGATTTTCCTTTAATGCTTCTGGATTTCATCTACGGACTTACAGAATGCAATATATGTCATCACAGAATTCCATACAGTATAGCTTCTGACCAAGGAGCATGCTCCACAGCACACTTCACAGCAAAAGAAGAGGATGAAACAGCCCGTGCTCAGTGGAATGCACATTGGTCTCACCATGGTCCCCACTACCCTAAAGCTAAGAGAATGAAGGAGTGACCTTGTGAAGATTCATTTTCACTGGCAGCTAAGTGGCACTGTAGTGGAGATGAATGGTGGTTATTGATCTTGCCCAAGAAAGAATTCAGAGACTGAACCACAGAGAAGTTTTAACAGAGCAAGTTTCATGAAATCAAGAGCAAGTTCAAAGGCAAAAGTGTACCCTCAAAGGAAAGTGAGGGCATGCAGCTTGACCAAACAGTCAAGTGCCCCAAACTCCCAGGTCTTTGACACTTTTATGGATAGGGTTTAATGATTATTCTAAGGGTATGTATATAATAATTGCAGAGATCTCTGATAAATGAGAGGGCATTTCCAAGAGCTTACCTAATAAGGTGTCCTCAGAGCCAAGATGGCAATTTGAGAGGAGGTGTGTGCATGAAACTGCATGTATAATGAGATGTAAGTGAGGTCCCTGGCTAGCTTCTAGAGTTGGGACAGTCCCTGCTAGGGGATTGTTGGTCTTGACCATTCACCAGGACAATAGTGGAGTAGGATGTTTGGCATTGCAACCTCTCCCTGGCTCTTTTTGATATGTTCCCTTTCTGTCTGCCCACCTCATCTGAGCAACACCTGCCTGGACTGGGCAAGGTTCTGTAGAAGGCCATATATGCTCTCAATCAATGTCTAGTATATGACAACCAGGATTCCCAGGTCCAGGAATAGTGACACCACTCACTATCACTCCTATGACTCATTAGCAAGGTTTTTGTTTCCTATTTCTGTCACTATGGCTAGAGGTCTTATTTCCAGAGAAGAAATGCTTCTACCAGGAAACACACCATGATTCTAATAAACTGGAAGTTAAGACTCCCACTGGGACGCTTCAGGTTTCCTGTGCCCCTGAATCAACAGACAAAAAGGGACTTACAGTGTTGGCTGGGGTAACTGGTCTGGACTTCCCAGGAGAAATCGCACTACTGTCCCTCAATGGAGGTTCAGGAGAGTATGCCTGATATACAGGAGTTCCTCTAGAGCATCTCTTATTATGACCATCTCCACTATGCCCTGTGACTAAGGTAACAGAAAACCTTATCAACCCAAACCAGGCAGGACTATGAATGCCCCAGACCCATTAGGAATAAAGGCTTGGGTGGTAAAGAATCATGACCAGCTGAGATGCTTGCTGAAGGCAAAGGTAATACAGAGGGAGTAGTAGAAGAAATTATAAATTCCACCTGCAAACACATGACCATTATGGAAACAAGGGCTGTAATTATCATAAGTATTTTTCCATGTTTTATTATGAAGGTGTTTATGTGTGCATAAAGGCATATTAAGCAAATATCTTTGCATTCTTTACTTTTATTCACTTATCATGTCATTCTACAGAGGTATGTTCATACCTCTACATGTGCATTGCTGTG